GTCCAAGCTGTGCCTTGAAGTAGCACATCTGCTTTTTGTCCGCTTAAATGATCCTTATTACTTTTTGATAATTTTACTAGTTCTTTGAAGTTCCATTTTGATAAAAATTACTTGAACTGCTTTGGCAATCCAATTTCATCCTTTTCGTGCTTCTTCGTTAATCTTTTCGACAATCGCTTCACAAGTGAACTACTGTTACTGGTCGTTCGTGGTAGAGGTGGTGGCATTGGCGCTTTAAAAACGCATGATTTACAAAAGCAATAAAAGGATTAAAGAAAATCAAGGATTGCAGCATAGGGAGGATTTTATTAAAGTAAGTAAAGCGCCTGTAGAAATTCTGCAGAAGGCGGAAGGAAAATAATAAATTCTACAACTTCCTCAAACTTCCATTAGCGTGCAATCTTAGATTCATAAAATGGTCTTTGAAAGTGAAAATTATTAGTAACATAAAATATCAGGAGATCGGTAAAGTACGGGGGCAAGGTTAATTATTTTCGATAGACATTGGAAGAACTCTGAGACGGCTAATGCCTTGTGAGGTGATTCTGACCAGAAAATCTCTTAGAAGATACAGTTCCTCCTGGAGACGAAGTAAAAGTCAAAGTCCTTAGCAGCGTACTGGTCAAAGTCACTGGCAAAGCTTGTCAGGTTCATAGACCAAACTGTGAATTTTAATAATTTTGTCGAGTAACCTAGATGTAAAATATGTTAATGCAGGATGAGTTGACAAAATATTTTGGTCAAAATCAAAATTTTATATTCAGGAACCAAAAAAAAACTTTGCTCAGGATCTAGAACCTTGAAAAGACCTTGTTCAGGATCCAGGATCTAAAAAATAAAGTAGAAGAAATGAGAGACTGCTTTGCTGTTTCTTCTGATGTTCTACTGTTTGAAGATCCTTGGCTCTTTTGTTCCTGAAGACAAGGTGTTCTAATTTGGTTAGAGAGTGATCAAGAAGTAAAATGGGAATAAACAGCCTTACGTATTGATAAGACTGGTGCTGCTGCAGTTGCTGTTGCTCGATTCTTGGATCTCTCTAATGAGCTGTGTGATTTTGCGAGGGCTGTTTTCGGTGACACAAAATTCAAATTGGCGTAGAGACGAGCTCTTTCAGCACATTTCGCTAATTCAGGAAGCTTGTAAAACTGGGCTTCATAGGCAATCCAGCTAAGCTTATAACAGTCATCATCGGGAAGCGGATAGTTGATTCCATGGCGCAAATAACCCAGTATTGTCGGAAATGCATCAGCATCACGATCGATGAATACATATCCGTCCTGAAATATTTTTGGCTCCAAGAAAATTTCATTGGTGCTTTGACGTAGATTTCATTTGTCATTACCCATTCTTCTTTCCCTAACTTCCGTAAATGGTAACGAAATCCCAAACTCTTCATACACCGCTTCCTCAAAACGCCTTCTTTTCTAATACTTCATTCCATGAGTAGTTCTTTTTTTTTTCTATTTCTGTCCAGTACAAAAGGCTCTGATAACCGCTTTCTTCAATTTATAATAATCTGTCAGGCTAACTATTCGAATAGGACTTAATACTTTTTCCAAATAGGTCCCGATTAAGATTATTTAGAAACTAATTTTGCAAAAAAAGTTGAGAATGGAATGCTTCTTATTTTTTGAGACCCTGATTTGTTTTGAACTTTTGCGCGAAGATTTTTGCAAACTGTAGAATCAAAAGTCGACAACAGTAAACAGTGGTGCTTCATAATTTTCGAGCCTCCTGGAAACCGTAGATTTAGCAGCTGGAAAGAATGGGAGGGGAGAAAGGGCGGAAATATTAGCTTGAGCCTCTCTTTCACAACAGCAAAAACTGGCGACTAGGAATAACGGCAGAAATCCAGACGTTTACATCAAGCAAAAACTCAGAGAAAGTTAGTGCATTTGGCAGTGCGAAGGCATAAAAAATCCGACTTTCTTCGCAAACATTTTCACGATTTCTCGACTAATCCGGTGGAGGACCTCTTTAAGGACACTGCTGAATCCTGTTTTAGACGATCTCATACCACTGATCCTTGGCAGCTCTCCAACTCTGACCAGTCCCCGGATGTTTGCAAATGAACCAGAAACAAATTATCGTGAAAAAGACGAGAAAAAATCGCAGAAAACAAAAAACAAAATTCACTAATATCTCAATGGACCATGTCCACTTTCTCAAAATCTTGGTTAAACATGACTGCGGTTTGCAAATCTCTGAAACAAATACAGAAAAACATCGGCATGGAATTGTTACCGAACTGGGCGGATGGCCATTGTTGGCACTGAGCACCTGGCTGAAATATGATCCGGAAACAGCATTCAGTGTTTTGAGTCGCGTTTTGAATATGCGTCCACCAACATCCAGAATAATGCATTTCTCATCCATCTTCCTCAGATTTCTAACAATAAATTCATTTCATAATTTGAAGATCAAGTCCCGTTGTATTTGCTTTCTGTAAGAGGCAGAAGCACTCAAGAGTAGCGAATGCAAGCCAGCTAGCAAGGCTGCCGATGGTTCCTTCTTTTGAGTGTAGCTTGAAAGCAAGCTAATGGCGGGATTGATTCCTGACAAAAGTCATTGCAAATTTACTTCGAAACGAATAAACGAATCGCAGACGGTCAGACTTTCTCATGTACTGCACGCATAATGCACCACGTTAGTCAGTAAATAAGATGTTAAGTGATGCGGCAACAAGTTTAATGTGAGAAATTTTTGTTGGTTTCGAATTATGTAAAAGAATGCTACCGAAGAACATGCTGGACAATCGATGTGTCAGATATTACTGAGTGCTCTCGAATTTCGGGCGGAGTCACGCCCTCGATCCGAGTTACATACTTTCAGTTAGTACCTACTCTACCAACTGACAGGCGAATAAGTAACAGGAAAAACTGAGTAAAGTCGTTCCCCGCCGATTGATCCTGCCCTCAGAAGTGTTCGGGTGTTGCAACATTGGTTTAGGACTGAACACGTATTTCAACAAGCTAAAATAGTTCAGGGCGCCAGTTCCTGTTTACTTGCCTATTTTGCTGTGAATTTGTTTGTAATGGGAGGAACAGTGAGTGCTGAAGAAAGGAACGTTGGTGCTGGCATGCAAATTTTTAAGCGAAAAAGTGAACGATTTAAATGAGTGAGGGGAGTGAGGTGGGTAAGGGTGAGGTATGGTAGGTAAACTTTTGCGCACCTTTAATACCCTTGCAATAAAGTGAAAGATGATTGCATTCGCCCCGAACGCAAACAAAGCGTCTGACTCAGTGATCGTTCGCTGCATATTGGACGGCGAAATTCAAATTTTGCAGTGCTATATTGTTATTTTACTGAGCGACTAACAGGAATCTCAACAGATATTCTCACATCTGAGATACCGGAATTATAAAACTGGCCGGAGAGTTGATGTGTGAAGCACATGTTCGTGATGTTACTGGGATGCTTTCAGAACTGGCTCACAACGGCAGGCCGTTTGCGCCTGAACTGCACAACTCCAAACCGTATAATACCAATTTCACATATTTTTGTGCATCTTTTGCATCCGTGCAATGCAGAAAACACATATTGACGAGGGGTTGCCTGTGTATTTGTGTGTGCGCCTGTACCGATTTTTCATTCCAAGACCTATAAAAGCTACAGGGCTGAAACTTTGAGAAGCCCCAATCCCCAAAATGGGCGCCCTTGCATCTTCGCATCGGCAGTCGGTGCGTTGGCCAATTATTAAAGTATTATTTATCGACAAGAATAGTTATTAGCTGGAGGCTGGGTAGGGCAGTGAGGCAAATTAAGCTATGCACTTGGTACAATATGCAGTCCAGTCGAAATAATCGAATCGTTTTGTACTGGTTTCCCGTGCGCAGAATAAACAAAGTTTTTTAAGGCCGTAGGTGAATGCCTTGTGAAATTACTTCTAATACGTTCTCGCAATGTAAGCTGTGAAATATATGTTGCAACAAGGCAGCAGATCGCGTTACGCGATTTTTGAAAGACTTTACTGAAGATTTAATGATTTTCGATAAAATTTAAACAATTTGAAATGTCTGGATTTGCACCGAATTTTGAAAAACTACCAATTCATCTGCGTGTGTGGGATGTCACTATGCAGAAACGGAACAAACATTTTCACGTCCGAACAATTCCAGTGGTTTCGCCAGCCTCATCGTAATCATCATTGTCGTGCTCAAAACAGATACTCAAAACAGCATAAAGTTAAGAGAAATAATTGGCCAACGCTCGGGCTGCCCGTACGAAG